ACGGTTCACGCAGGGAAAGAACATATCAATATTCGCATATTCATTCAAAAACATGAAAATTCTTAATGGAGTACCCTCATTTTTTATTGAATTCCTAAAAAACAATATTTATAATGAATTTTAATAATTTTTTTGAATTTTTTTTAAGCTTTATTCTGACCGATTTACCCGATTCCCGATCCGGATGGCCGATTCGCCGATCCGGATCGATTTTTTGGAAGCCCGATCCGGGTCACCGAACCGTTTTTTAAACCATTGATTTAAAGTCTTACATTGTATTTCATGGTCTAAATTTTAATAGCTCATATAATAAATTTTAAAATTCATAAAGATACACTTGAAATAAGTGTTAAATAGTTGGACAATTTGACTTTTAAATATAGTTTGATAACTTCCCAATTTTTTTATAAGCTCACTATCAATGCAATTGGTGTCACCTAGTCAAATCAATCTCTCTCACTCACTCACTCACTCTCTCTCTCTCTCTTTCTCCCGCAAGCAAGGCCAACATTCATATTTTTATGGAAATTATTGTTTAATAAAGGGTGCTGTTTGTATAGAGCCTAAGCTCTAAACAATCAAATAAGAGCAAACCTTCAAATAGTATCGATAAATGTAGTTGAAACCTTTATTTTATAGCTTTAAAATATATTTGCATCTCTATTTTTAAAGTTTAAAGCTTAAAAAATAGTGTAGATCGAGAGATCTATGAAAACTTGAAAATCTTTAAAAGTGACGGTAAAAAAATGCGTTACATAATATACAATTTCTAAAATTTGAAATCCATTTTTGTTTCATGTATATGCATCTCGATGTCCCGATGATCAATTTAATGATCTTCTAGTAAAATTTTTGAAATAGGGTCAAATTTAATTGTTTAGAGCCTCGTTCTATATAAACTTTTCCCTTTAATAAATCATCATTTTTTAAAGAAAAAATTATATAAGGATGAGGCCCTAAACAATCAAATTAAGGCATGCCTCAAAAAATTATTAAGCACTTGTTTCAATGCCTAATAATCTTTGAATGCGATCATCTCGACCTCAAGATATATGGACATGAGAAAAAATTGATTTCAAATATAAAAAATAATGCATCTTGTAATGTATTTTTGAACCGTTAATTTTCAAAATTATCAAGTGTTCGTAGATCTGCTTAATCTGCACTATTTTTTAAGCTTTAAATTGTATAATTACAGATAAATGTAAATTTTCAGGCCATCACAATGATTTCCAATAGTGAAAAAACATCTTTCAAACCCTATTTAAAAGTGCATCTTATTTTGATGGTTTAAGGCCTCAGCCTTATAAATCACACCCATTTTTTTAAAAATAATCTCTACCGAACGGCCGTTTTAGAAAACTAGTATTGCTTTGGTGTCAAGTTCCGTGATTTCCGGTCTAAACTTCCAAAATAATGGCTTCAACATCAAACCAAAATATCTAATTCCTTGAAATCTTGAAATTGTTCAATGATTTCTTTTCCCAATTTGCCCCTTTTTACTTCCCTAAATATCAAAACTATAATTTCTCTACGTTTGAATTTTTATCTCAATACGAGGAAACTTCATTTTAAGACAAGTCTTATAATGAATTTTGGAAACAAAAATACTTTTGCACGTAAGTAACGACATTTTCGGTCTCAAAACTTTGCAAATTGATCATCGCAACTTAATGTTACATATATTTCCCATATCTCTACCATTTTTTAGTCAATTATGAAAATTTGGACAAAATTATTTTTGCAATCGTAAGGTTCTGGTGCCACATCTATTTTTCAAGCAAGGTTTTGAGGTATGGCTTTGCGAAATTTCATAATATTGCAGTATTCTTGACCTGCATCAATACTATCCAAAAACTTTTGACAAATAATGCTTCATTATACCCTATTTCCTGTTCATTCATGTATTATGGGGTTATTTTCAGCAAGTTTGTGGAAAACCATTGCATAAATAAGCAACTGAACATCTGGATCAGGAATTGGGAATCAAGACTCGCCTAGTTTTGTCACAGATATAGATGAGTTTTGTCAGCGAACCTTGTAATCTGAATCAACCAATACCGTATTGCCTACTTATTTATCTTTATTTTTTGAGCAATGATCTAATGCAACGTTTGTATCATAATATAATGCAACGACACTTCTAGAAAATCATGTTTGTGGTATTTGTATGACCCCAAATTTTGCACACACACTCTTTTCATCTCAATAATCAATCCTCCCAAAAACAAAAGTTCAATTGGAACTCTAGATATGGACAAAATGAGTCCCTTCCAAAAACGAATCTAGACCATTTCATTTTGTGAATTTCAAGATCTTAGCCTTTATAAACTCGAAATCATTTTTTTCTTTTTAACATTATTCATCTAATGATGATAAAGACATCAAAAAAAAAATGGAAGTGAAAAAAACCCTTTTAAGGCCTAGATCTAAGCATCTCATTAAAATAAACGACCTATGTTAATTGGGCTAAAAAAATAATTTATAGGTTGTGTTTTCAAATTATTGTGTTTTTTTTTGTGATTGTTCATTAGAGTAAAAATAGTGTATATTTCAAAATTTGGATCAAACAAATGGCTATGAGATGGTTTTTAAAAGTTGTTGCATCATATTACTATACAATAGTTGCATGAAATCATTGGCATTATTTTTTACAAACTTTTTAACTTTTTTTCAAAATTTCAAAATGTTATTTTTTTTTCTTTTTTAAATTTTTTTTTTTAGTTTTTTCAAATCTTATGGTATCAAGAAAAAAATTTATATTATTCCCATAGATAATCGTCTGATCCGGCCTAATTTGGCAATCATGTTTAACTTTGGATAAAAATTTGATCCGACCTGGATCCAGCCTGTATTTTAATACTATCACAAAGATCTTCAGTACTAAAACCACATTTCTCCACAGTCCACACTATTTGAAGGTGCACTGTTACACAAATCGCAAGAAAAAAAGAAGAGGGGCATTATCGTAAATTTCGCGATAATGTAAGGATAATTCCTTACTTTGTCATCCTTGACACAGGTCACAGATATTTTGGTCGTTTTTCTATATTCCATAAGTAACCCTCTATTTGATAGAAAATATCCAAACTAGTCTCAACTAAAAGGACTTTCTTGGTAATAAATTGAATTAAAGGGATATTTTAGAGTTTTTGAAGTAAAAAAGCGGAGTATTCACAAAAAAACCAGACAATCCTTGCAAGACGGCGATGGCCATGTCCTATCTCAGATCCTTTGAGGTATGGATTCTTTCTCTAGTTTTTTTTAGAATTTTATTATTTGTGTTTTTTTAAGAAATGTGGGGTTTTTTTATCCTCACCCCATATAGGTTTTGCATTTGTTTATTTTTTCTTTTTATTTTTTTGCTGAAATTTATGGCTATGGTGGGTTGATAATGGGGTTTGTGGCTTTTAGGCTTTTGGGTGTCTTTTGTCTTGAATTGGGTGTTTGGATAAGCACATTTGGGATGCATTTTTGTTGTTTTCTTTCGTTATTGGATTGGGCATGATCTGGATCTGAATTGGTTCTGGTTCTGCAAGTCTAGGGTTTATTTGATGTAATAGCCAATAATTTACTAGGGTTGGAGCTATTATGGATTTTGGGTTTCTGGTTGGAACTGGTGAAGTAATAGTTATTTGCATTTTATGTTTGGTTTTACTGTATTCTTACTTTCCTGGACTGTGATTTGAGATTATATCGGGTTGTGGCATTCTCTTTTTAGGTGCAATTTGTGGGGTTTCTGCATTTGTCATGATAATCAGCAGGATTTATGTGAATTCTTTAGGTTTATGATTTGAGCTATTTCTGCTCTTTTGGTGTAGATGCATTTCGGTTTGAACTAATGAACTTGTCATGGAAACTATGTGGCGTGATGTGGCTTCATGATTTTAAGGTTTTCGGTTATGGTTACTACTGATGGCGACTTAGTATATTCCACTCTAATGATATATGCTGATTTGGGTTAATTGCATTTTCTAGTTTGTTATATATATAGACATTTATATATTTTCAACGAATGATGAAACTTCTATGCAGTTTGTTTGTAGAGTGTGATGGGTTTTACATTTTTTGTTTTTGGTTTCACAAGCTTTAGAAATGGAGTTTTGTCAGTGATGGTGATGATTGTTACCTGTTTCTTCTTCTCTTTGCTTGAGCATGGTCCCGAGTTGTTTATATTGTGTCTCTCTCTCTATCGTAGTTTTCTTGTCTCATTTGGATTTTATGGCGCTGTATTCAGTATGTGTTAGATTTTGAAGCTTTAAGTTCAAGATGCCGGAGAATCGGCATTTTGTGGAAATTTTTTGTTTTTATTTTTTGTTCACTTTTTTTTTATGCATTCGATGCAATTTGTGGGTTTTATAAATTCATACTTTTTCATTATAATATTTCATTTAGAACATGACTATGTTTTTTGAGAAGTCGTTTGTATTGGTTGGTTATTATCTTCTCAGAACATTAGAAGTTCAGTCATCCGGTTTGAGGGATTTGTGACCTGTTGCTTTGTAGTCTAATTTGGTTTTTGGTTGTTTGTTGCTACAAGTTGATTGGTCTCTGAACTTTTGTTTGTTTCTCTATAACTGAACTTTTATTTGTTTCTACAACGGCTATATTTCGCTACTCTGTTTTTAGCAAGACTGTGTGTTTTAAAATATCTGATTTATGGTCCTATTCATGTCTTTTGTCTTATGTATGTATGTATTTATGCATACATGTATTATGCAAAGACCCATGGACTCATGCCACGCAGAATAGGCATACACATACACCTGAATTTTTTTTATCAATGATAATAAACATTTTCTACATCTAGTGTTTCCATCTTACAAGTTTCTTCTTGTTTCATTCTCAAACCCACTGTTCCTATTGGCATCAAGAGGCTACAGCTTGATTGTTCAAAGTACTTTACTTGCAGAACATGAAATCTTAATTACGATTCAAGAAGATACATCTAATTCGCAGATCAAAGTCTTTGCAACTATTAGGCATACCCATTTAATTTTGGATCGATGGGTTCGAGATTCCCATCTCATCAGCTTAGCAATGGCCTTTATGTCTCGGGTCGGCCAGAGCAACACAAGGAGAGACCTCCAACCATGAGCTCCACCGCCATGCCTTACACAGGTGGAGACATTAAGAAATCTGGGGAGCTTGGAAAAATGTTTGATATTCAAGTAGAAGGCTCAAAGTCGAGGAAATCGGGACCCATATCAAATGCCCCCTCAAGAACTGGTTCTTTTGGGGGTGCTGCCTCACATAGTGGACCAATAATGCATAACTCCTCTGGTCGAGCTTCTTCCAATTCTGTTCCTGGTTCAGTTGTTACCGGACCCAATAGACAAAAATCCAATTCAGGCCCACTTAATAATAGGCATGGTGATGGCATTAAGAAGTCTTCTGGTCCTCAATCTGGTGGGGTTACCCCAATTGCTCGCCAAAATTCTGGGCCCATCCCTCCAGTTCTCCCAGCCACTGGGCTCATAACTTCAGGGCCAATCTCTTCGGGGCCTCTCAATTCATCAGGGGCTCCTCGAAAAGTATCCGGTCCATTGGATGGTGCTGCTTCTGTCAAGCTTCACAGCATATCTATTGCTCATAATCAGGCTGTTACCAATCTTAGCAATGAGGAGCAGTATTCTTTCAAAAGGGGGATTCCCAAGTGTATACTTTGGTCGGTGGTGATGCTCTTTGTCATGGGATTCATTGCTGGTGGTTTCTTTCTTGGGGCTGTCCACAATGCCATTCTACTTGTTATTGTTGTGGTTCTCTTTGGTGCAGTGGCTGCACTCTTCACTTGGAATACTTTTTGGGGAATGAGAGCTATCACGGGTTTCATTGCCAGTTATCCGGATGCTGAGTTGAGGACTGCAAAGGATGGGCAGTATGTTAAAGTTTCTGGGGTATGTTTCATGATGTTCCTCTCTCTCTCTCCTCCCACAAGTTTGATTGCTTTTTGAGGAATATATCTTTCTGGTTAGTCCCATCAGAGAAACATTAATAAACTTAGAATCATTTTGTCTTACAGTGAATAATATTTGGTCGTTAGCTCATGGAGTTTTATTTGATCCAGTAGTTATTGATTGCTGGATTTAAATTTTAATAAGTATTTGATTTCGTGGAACCAAAATCGTGACCCAATGATTAGTCCGATGCTCGAGCTTTTGCCTTGTTTGCATGGTTTGAATTTAATTACTGCCTGAGGATACAGAGTCTTTCTTCTTCTAAAATGTGACCAACTTGGGTTTTTCAATCTAGTCAATCTTATGATATATGCTCCAAAACACATGCCTATTTATTCTTTTGTTTTTCTTCAATCTAATAAAGCAATAAAGAAGGAAAAAGACAAATTGCATTGCCCGGTGATGTGACCTTTTTTATGCATGTATATGTAATACCCTCCTAATTGTGGATGAAGAATTGCCATGCCTAGACAAGTCTAAGAGTCAAAATCTTTTAACATGATCCATTACCTTTTCTATGTGAGTTTGTGTTGGCTTCAAATTTCACTCTGCAATCACTTGAAGCATGTTCAAGTGAGGACCCAGGTCATTGCTTGCCAAACAGAAGATGCTTTTCTAGGATTTGCCCAGTGCTTTCTCCAGTTGTGTAATATCAAATTTGCACTTTTCTGAAGTTCTTTCAGTGCATGGTACAGTTCAATACTTATCCAAAAAAAAAAATTGTATGGTTTGCTCTTGTTACTAAGCTGATGGTACAATGATGATAAGTTGCTCCTTGTGTGTGTGTGTGTGTGTGCTTTTTTTTTCTCCTGTTTGTTTGACAGGTACTTCTCGTGTGAGTTTTATAGTTCTTAGATGTGTGGATGTCAGAGTGCTGTAATGGGTTGCATAATGATCATTTACAGTGTATTTTGTTTGGAGCAATGATTTCATGCAACGGTTGTATCATAATATAATGCAACCACATTAAAAAACCATGTTAGAGACATTTGTTTGACGCAATGTTTTAGATGTATACTCTTTTCATTCTAAAGAACAATCACAAAAAGAAAATTTAGGAAAAAACACCCTAAAAAGTGTTTTTCTAGCCCAATTAATATAAGCCTTCCCTTTTAATGAGAAGGTTATATAGGTCTCATAAGGATTTTTTTATTCCCAAAATTTTTATTTAGTGTTACCATCATTAGATTAACAATGCTAAAAAAAAAAAAAGTGATTTTGAATTTGTAAAGGCCTAGATCTTGAAATTCACCGAATCGATGGTCGAGATTCATTGTTGGAGGGTACTAATTTTGACCATATCTAGGGTTCAAATTGAATTTTTTTTTATGAGGATGAAAAGAATGTGTGTGCAAAATTTAGAGTCATAAAAAATACCAAAAACATGGTTTTCTAGAGGTGTGGTTGCATCATACTATACAACCATTGTATGAAATCATTCCTCATTTGTTTATGTTAAATTGATTGACATGGCTTAATCAATCCATTTGTGCCTTGAAGAAGTCAATCTTTATATGCTCCATTGTTGTTTTAGAGTCTTAAATTTGTTGCTCTTACTATCTCACAGGTAGTAACATGTGGAAATGTCCCACTGGAATCATCCTTTCAAAAGGCTCCACGATGTGTATACACATCTACAAGCTTGTATGAGTATAGGGGCTGGGACTCAAAGGCTGCCAATGCCAAGCATCGCCGTTTTACTTGGGGACTTAGATCTTTGGAGGTGAGTCATTTACATCGTTATATTGCAGACACTCTCAGCTTTGTATCAATTGACAGTGCTTTACCATGGATTTCCCCAGTAATGGGTTTACTTTCCTTTTATTGGGTAATTGTTTTGATCTTCTTCTTGGGTAAATTATTCAAAGATATTCAAGCTTGTTGTTTTTTGATCAATAAAAAAATGGTAAGGTTTTGGCATATCCCTGTACCATCCACTCTTCCCAAATCCATTTTGGAGATGTATTTTGGATGCAAAACTACACGAATCTATCATTTTGCCACCACGATCATGAATATGAAAAATAATTAAATTTCGAGCCTTCAAAAGTCAATCTTGTACCTTTTCTTTGGACCATTCATTTTATTTCTTCATAGATTATCAGATCTACACTATTTTTAGAGCTCCAAATGCATGGATCTGAGGCGGAAATGGATTTGCAGTGATTTAGGAGCGTTTTGGGTCCTAAAATCCTTGAAAACTAGGGTGGACGCATGAGTTGGCCGACCCACGAAATATTTAGATAAGAGAAAGTTGCTAAGTTTAGCTTGATGATGCGCTACCTTGTTGATTGGTCTTGAATAATATGGATAATGCCATAGAAGTGGGTGTTAGACATTCTTATTTGAAAGATTAAACATAGGAAAAATCATAGATACCCCCTTGACCACACTTTCTAAGCATGCCTCTCCCCAATATTTTTTAAACCATACCCTTAACTCCAATACCTTTTATTTTTGCATCCACCCCCCAATAAAAATGGTCATTTTAAGACATGAACACCCACGTGTATTTATGATAGTTTCTCTCTCTTAAAACCTGAAATTTGAAATTTTAGAGAGAGAAATTATCAATGTTGTCATTTTCGCTTTAGAGTCTTCTTCGGTTTGGTGAGACAAATGAAGCAATTCGGTGCTTCGGCCGATTTGGGGGAAGACTTCGGATTTTTTTTAATTTAATATAAATAAATTAGATATTTATATATAAAATATATAAAAATAATGGAAAAATAAAAAATAATACTTTTATGTAGGTATTTCTTTTCTGTCCGAAGCAGCCTGAAGCTTCGCGCGAAGTAGAGACCCGAATCTGACCGAAGCGGCAGCACCACGCTTCTCTTCGCTTCGGTTTATGCTTAAAAACCGAAGGCTTCGGCCTCTTCGGTCGAAGTGAAGCTAATTTGATAACATGAGAAATTAGAATTTGATAACATTGGAAATTATCTCAAATTTTTTTAGAAAGAGAAACAATTTGAAATTTCAAATTTTTAGAGAGAGAAATATCTCAAATCTTAAGATTTAGAGAAAGAAACTATCTTAAATTTCTAGTTTTAGAGAGAAAAATTTCCGCAAATATCAAGTATTTATTTATGGCCCGTTTAAATAATCATTTCTTTCTCTAAAAATTTTGAGATGGTTTTTCTTACTAAAACTGAATATTTGAGATAATTTATCTCTCTTCAAATTTTGAATTCAAAATTTGAGATAATTCTCTTTAAAATTTTTGAGATAGTTTCTCTCTCTAAAATTTAAAGTTTTAAGACCGAGGAGTTATCTTAAATACCTAGAAAATATATTTTTTTAACTTTGTTTTTGGTGTGTGTTTGTGTGGTTTGTTTGGGTCGGTGGATTCAAAACTAGAAATATTGGGGTTAGTGGCGTGGTTTAAAAAGTATTAGGGTGGGGCATGCCTAGAAAGCATGGTCCGGGGGTATATATAATTTCCCCTTAAACATATTAGGGATGAATTCTTCATATATTAATTCCGCATTTTAGTTCTTCGATTTTATTATATTACATCATAACATATATAATATGGAATTAACTCAAATTTTTTTACGAGTGGCAGTAAGATGCCCAACAGCTATGTTGTATATAAAAATGCAATCACTAACCTTGTGCTAATCATGTTGTTAGGGTTCTTCTTTCTATTCCAGGATCTACAAGTGGTTTACAAACATTCTTCTATACTTCCTATCATGAATTTATTCTTGTATCTTAACACTGGAATGTAACTTCAAATTTGTGAGGTGCACTTGTTGCCTTTCTCTGGAAACGTTTGATTTTTGTGATAGTATTAAACAAGTTTAATTGGGATGTGTATCTTATTTTCTGCTACTGATTTTTTTGCAGTGCTTCATATTTCTTTAATGATTATTGCATTGTTCCTTTAGATTTTTGGCATGCCATTGTGCTCCTTATGAGTGTTCTTGTGACTTTTGATTGGCAGAGGCATGTGGTTGACTTCTACATCTCAGATTTCCAGTCCGGATTGAGAGCGTTGGTTAAAACTGGGTATGGTGCAAAGGTAACTCCATATGTAGATGAGTCCATCGTGGTTGATGTCAATCAGAAGAACATGGAGTTGTCTCCAGAATTTGTCAGGTGGTTGGGTGAAAGGAACCTTTCTAGTGATGATCGTACAATGCGCATGAAAGAAGGGTGAGTTCGCTATTCTGTTTAGTCCATGATTCTTTCCATTAGGATGCCTTGTACTGAATGTTGATGTTTCTTAATGTTTAACCCATGGGAAAGTATACGATAACCATAATGGAAAACCATATGGGATCATGTCCTGTTCTGGTGGGTCCCACTCTTTCCCCATCACTGTGCATCACTTCATTGGACAGTGATGAACTCAATGGACTTTGGCTTTCTGTAGTCAGCTTATAACTGCAGTAGCTGTTGTTGTTGTTGTTGTTGTTGTTATCATTATTATTATTATTATGATTTGGATGGGTATGGATGTGAACCTGAGCCACAGATGTTGGAGCACATGTGCTTAATCACCAGTCCGAGAGGCCAAACCCCATTTCTTAATTATTAAAAATGCCACAAATTTTTATGACCTTCAGGTATATCAAAGAAGGAAGCACAGTTAGTGTAATGGGGGTGGTCCAGCGAAATGATAATGTTCTTATGATAGTCCCCCCTTCCGACCCTTTCTCAACTGGGTGCCAATGGGCCAAGTGCATTTTACCAGCTAGCCTCGAAGGAATCGTATTGAGATGCGAAGACACCTCCAAAATTGATGTCATACCAGTGTGATTATCTCTCTGCACTGTTCAGGTAAGTGAGTTGTGTATGAGGTGTGGTGGGTTCGGTGACGTTGGGTGTATAGCTTTCTTTAATTTTTAAGGGTTTAAAAGCTTGTAGGGGCCTGTGGTTTGGTATCAGTGAGAGGGGATTTTGTTGTGCTTGTTCTTGAAGAGGCTTGTGTTGACCTATATTGCGCTTACTTTGTTAAGTAATATTAACGTGGGTTTGGCTTAGATTTTGAAAGCATGGGAGGTTAGAGATTATGATGAAAGGGGTGAAGTTGGGGTTGCTTCCAATATACTTATGGTATAACTACTCTTCCACCCATTGCACTACTCTCTTTAAGGGGGTTCAGTCAATGAAGATATTGTTTCAAAGAGAGGAAGATTCAGTCATGCTACTGGTCAATGAAGAGGTGTTTGTTGAACATGTGTAGGCTTTGAGCCAAGGGGGCCCTTGTGTCTTCCCATTTGCAATTGATATCAGGTTGGGGTCCCCATTTTGTGTAGAAGTTGTACAGAATCCATGCTACTATATTGGGTTGATGGAAATTGAATTGCTTTTAAAGATTGTAGAAAGCGCATTCTCTCTTGCTGGGAGGTCCTCTCTCTCTCTCTCTCTCTCCATTTGATTTGGAAATCGCTTGATAAGCATAGTTGTAGTAGGATCAGTGTTGTTTAATGTTAGATTGGTCTATAATTATGGACCGAGTCTATTGGGTTTATGCCAAAAATGAACCAGTGGCCTAACATGCACTGTGCTCCAATATATAATTAGGAGCGCGTTCATTTTCCATGGATTAAAAAACAATGTGTGTATCCATAATATTGTTTGATATTCATTTGAATCGTCACTATGATTTTGGACATCTCAGTATATTATTTTCTTTTAATGTAGTTGGGAAAAATCAATGTATGCTGAACTGGTTTTTGTGAGCAATGGCCTAAATTAGTGGTTGATATTTTGGAATACAATATGCAACTGACGTTTTCATATTGTCAGAATCGCCATCCCAAAATTTTGAAGGTATTTGTGGTTTTTAACAATACAGCTGGCTACTGCCTCTCTCTCTATTCAAAATTGATACGAAAGAGAAAAGTGTCCCCTCCTCTCTTCCTTTCTCTGGTGTGGGCATTTCTGGTGGGTGCATTCTCTCTCTATAGCGAGCATTGTGGTTGGGTGTTTAGCAGCAGAGCTTCGGATTCAAAAGGAGAAAAATCCATCTCTCTCTCTCTCTGTTATGAGCAGGTCTATTAGCTGAAGAAATATTTCACATTCACTGAGATTGTTGATAGTTTCTCTCTCTTGAAAATCAAAAGAACATGCAGTAGATATGGAATTTGGCAAACGAATTCGGGCTCACTCTAATTTCCTGATGCTTTCCAGAAGTGAGTAAATAGAAGGAAAATGGGTAACGAGAAACTAATAGAGAGGCATTATGCACTCATAATCACCCAAGAAGATTGCCTAATTCTCTACCAAACACATCAAACATTTGGGCTTCCATACCTAGAGAGTGATTGATTTATACATCATATTGCTAGAGAAACTAAGAGTTTGGGTTGTCCGTTAATTGAGAGTGAAAGTTGGGTTATCCATATTTTGAGAGAGGATATTGGAATGGCCAGAGAGTCTCACATTTTGAGATAAGAGAGAGAGAGAGTGAGTGAGTGAGTTCGGTTCTGTGAGAGTAAGGGGGTGGGGGGCTAGGAATCAGTCTGGATCTGGGTCATACTACTGGACCCTGTGAATCGGGTCTTGGTCCGAAAGCATGGGCTTGATTATGAATCGAGTCGGGTTTGGGTCCAGGTTCGAGCGATCTGAACCGACTTGAATAAAGTTTTATATTACCCTTTAATGCAGTGTTAGAAACCACTACTTGCCCGGAGTCAACAAAAAAATAGTTTAAAAAATTATAAAAAATACAAAAAAATAGGAAATGTATGTTCAAAGTAAATATTAAGTAAAACACAAAAAAATGAGGTTAAAAAATAGATTTTAAAAAATCAAGTTGTGATTGGGATATTTTTGAAATAATAAACAATGAGAAAAATGTAAAAATATTTGTCAAAGTGATAGAAAATATAAAAATACATATCCCAAATGAATTACTTATTTTTTAAATTTTTTATAATTTGTTTTGAATTTTTTTAATATCCCCGAGTTGCTCGGGCTTGGCAATGGCCCAAAAAAATAAATGTACGCTTCAAGTAAGATTAAGAAAAACGCATCAAAATGAGGTTAAAAAAAATAGTAAAACAATATATTTTTAAAAATCAACTTGTGATTGGGGGTATTTTTGAAAAAAAAGAAGAAGAAGAAAATGTAAAAATATTTGCCAAAGTGATAGAAAATATAAAAAACTATATTCCAAATATATTACTTATTTTTTAAAAAATTTTTTGATTTTTTTGAATTTCTTTTAATATACCCGAGTTGGACATCCAACTCGGGACGACTTGGGCTTGGCAAGGCCCAAGACAAATAGGAACTTTATGTTTAAAGTAAGATTAAAAAAAACATCAAAATGAGGTTAAAAAAATAGTAAAAAAAAACTTGAATGATTGGTATCAACTGTGAGGAGGATGTGATGCAAGGTATTGCGAATGCTTTGGGTTGTAGAGTGGATCATTTCCCTATTACCTATTAAGGATTGCCAATCTCAGATAAACGACTGTCTATCTCTGCTTGGGATACAATCTTTCATCAGACCCAAACCAAATTGGACTTTTGGAAACTTAAATATTTGTCATTAGGTGGGAGAACTACTCTGCTGCAATCATGTCTGGCTCATCTGTCCATCTATCAAATGTCTTTACTTCAAGGGTACGGTTTCTAAAAGGTTGCAACCTTCAACAATCCAATTAAGGCGCAACTCCAAATTTATCATAACATATAATTTTGTAATACAAAGTTTTTAGGATTATCTTAAAAACTATTTTCATATCTAGTTAAAAAATTATGAAACTCCAAAAATGATTAAAATCAAATAAATCTATAAACATATGAAAATCTTGAAAATGGACGGTCTAGATAATGTGTTGCAAGATGCACTATTTTTTGGACTCAAAAACGTTTTTCTTTCAATATTCATACATCTCGATGTCGAGGTGATCAATTAGAGGTTTCAACATTAAAACAACCTTTCCGGTAGATTTTTGAGGTGCATATGTGATTCTACATTTTAATGTTTCAACCTTATATAAACTTTTCCCTTACTTCAAATGCCTGCAATTGTTTGGAAAGGAAAAAAATTGAGAAGATGATGCATGATTTCTTATGAGGGTCATATGGAGATAATAGAAAATACCATCTTTTGAGGTGGGACATAGTATGTACTCCAAAAAGTGAAGGAAGGTTGGGGATTCACATAATTAGGTTTGTGAATCAGGCTCTCTTATGCAAGCGGTGGTAGAGCAGTATGCATTGTAAAGATAAGTTATGGTGGATAGAAAAAGGTATGCGGCTTTGGTTCTGGTAGAGGTGGATGTGCTTCGTCTTTTTGGAGACCTATTACTTTGTGTAAACCTCTCATTGGTAGAAGTATTAGATAGTTGGTAAAGGTGATTATGTTCCCTTTTGGCACCACAAGTTGATTGGGAATTGTTCTTATTTGGGATGGTTACCAATCCTAATGCTAAGATTGCTGAAATCCGTGAGGTTAGGGAAACCATGTTTTTTAGAATGTGAATTTTCCTAATAACAAGTTAAGTGATGCTCTTATAGGCCAACTCAGTACTCTTTTAAAACTTTTAAGTAAGGGGGATTTATATCTCGCTAGATTTGGAAGATGAGGTCATCTGGAAGAGAGAAGTGATGGTATATTTTCAATTAAGATGTGCTATAGGTTCCACTTTCATAACCTATGGAGATGGTCTTTGCCACAGTTGGCACATATTTAGAAATGGCCAATACTTGATGGTCCTTGCCACAACGGGCACAGATTTAGAAATGACCAATACCTCACAAAGTGAGATTTTTGTGTGGATAGCAACACAGGATAAAATTCTTACCATTGATATCATTATCAAAAGAGGTAAAATCTTTACGAATGCCTACTGGATGTGTAAGGAAGATGCAGAATTTGGGGCTCACCTCTTTTTTCATTGCTATTTTGCTGCTAGGATATGGCGTTGGTTTTTAATAGTGTTGAGCATTTCTATGCCTTTGCCTCAAGATGTTGTAGGCTTTGTAACTAACGTCTCCATTCCTAACTTGCCAGAGGTGGGAAGAGCCATTTAGAAGATTGGGCGAGCTGTAATCATGTGGGAAATTTGGTTGGAACGCATACCTTTGAAAAGGATTCCCTTTCCTTTGAAAAGTTTCTTTACAGGATCAAGCACGTGTTGGCTTGCAGTTACAATGGCTGGATAGGGCATCTTTGAGACTGATGTTATGATTGACCTTCATAACTTAATTTTGCTAGGCCCTGCCCCAATCAGGCCTAAGGTTGTTTGGTTTCCACCTCCAGGTGATATGCGGAACTTAAAATTTGATGGGAGCTGGCTAAGCCGGTATTGAGGGTGTGATCCAAGATAACAATGGTCTTCTTCTCCTAGCTTATGATTGGGGTTGTGATCTATGATTCCAATGGTCTTCTTCTTCTATCTTATGCAAGCCCGATTGGTGCAGCCATTGTTAACTTTGCTGAAATGGCAGCTCGCCTTTAAGGTTTTAAACTTTTGGTGGCCAGTTTTGGGTTGCCGTTTATTATTGAAAGAGGTTCGCAAAATGTCATTAAGTGGGATAAAAATGAGTGAAAAGTTCTTTGGTAAATTAAATCCTTATGGCGAAAAATTCGTAAAATGCCATTAAGTGGTGTAAAAAGGAGTTTAAGAGTTACTTGGAACTTAATTCTTTATGGCTTGAAATCATTGAGTTGACGATAGAGGCAGTTGGTTTTTTTTGTTTTTGAGGGAGCTATCTTGGTGATTCCCTTGCTAATAGGGGCACTTCTCTCCCTTCTCTTTTTATTTCGAATGATGTGTTCTCGTATGGGTAATTTTTATCAATAAAGATCTTTTATATTTGTCAAAAAAAAAAAAAAGATTTTAAAAAATTGACTTGTAATTAGGAATTTTTGAAAAAAAAAAAAAAGAAGAGAAAATGTATAAATATTTTCCAAAGTGATAGAAAATATAAAAAAATATATCTAAAATAAATTACTTCTTTTTTGGATTTTTTTATGATTTATTTTGATTTTTTTTTTTTAATATTCCCGACTAGGACACCCAACTCGGGACAACTAGAGCTCAGCAACGGCCTAAAAAAATAGGAAATGTATGTGTAATGTAAGATTAAAGAAAGGGTGCGGTTTGTATAGAGACTAGTCTCTAAACAATTAAATTAGAGCCTACTTTCAAATAGTATCAAGAAATGTGGTTTCAATACTGGAAATCTTTTTGATAGCCTTAAAATATATTTTCATCTTTATTTATAAAGTTTAAAGCTTAAAAAATAGTGTAAATTGAGAATTCTATGAAAACTTGAAAATTGAAGGTCCAAAAATGCGTTACAAAATACACTATTTTCAAAAGTTGAAATCTATTTTTTCTCTGGTCCATGCATCTTGATGTCGAGATGATCAATTCGAGGATACTTAGACATCAAAACAACCTCTTCTAGTGAATTTTTTGAGGGAGACTCAAATTTGATTGTTTAGAGCCTCGGCTCTATATAAACTTTTCCCTTAAAAAAAATACCTCAAAATGAGGTTAAAAAAATAGATTTTAAAAAGCCAAAATTGTTTCATATTCACTGGACTGCATTTCTACATATACGGTCCAGAAAGTGTAAAGTATCAATCTTAAAGATGGATGCAAGTAGGTGTTCCATCTAAAACCAATGAAAACTAACGGTCCAAATGTTTAGAATTATTAATTTTAGTTTTTAAAATTTATTTATTTTTTCATATTCATGATCTCTATGTTAGAGATTGCATGTCCTTAAAAATTAAGTCTTAAAATCCATCTCAAAAATAGATTTATGAAGAGGCTATATTTCTACATATGTGGGCGTGGCCGTATAGAAACCGGGTCCTTTAAAAAATCAACTTGTGATTGGGGGTATTTTTGAAATAAATACAAAAAAATGAGAAAATGTAAATATATTTACTATAGTGATAAAAAACATATAAAAAATATATCCCAAATAAATTACTTATTTTTTTTATTTTTTATGATTTGTTTTGAATTTTTTAATATATATGAGTTGGACACCTAACTCGAGACAACTCAGAGCTCGAAAATGGCAAAAAAAAAAGGAAATATACGTTTAAAGTAGATTAAAAAAATATATCAAAATGTGGTTAAAAAATAATAATAAAATATATTTTAAAAATCAATGACTGGGGCTATTTTGGAAATAAGTAAAAAAGATAAGAAAATGTTAGAAATATTTACCAAAGTGGCAGAAAAATAAAAAAGAATATCCCAAATAAATTACTTTTTTTTTTTTTTTTTTACTATTTTATGATTTTTTGGATTTCTTTTTAATATCTTTCAGTTGGACACCCAACTCGAGCTCGGCAAGGGCCCAAAAAAATAGATAATGTATGTTTAAAGTAAGATTAAGTAAAAAAAATCAAAACGAGGTTAAAAAAATTGTAAAAAAAATCTTTTAAAAATTTACTTGTGACTAGGGTTATTTTTTAAATAAATAAAAAATAGAAAATGTAAAAGTATTTTCCAAAGTGATAGAAAATATAAAAAAAATCCCAAATAAATTCCTTATTTTTTTAGATATGTTATTTATTGTTGTAAATTTTTTTTAGCATCTCCGAGAGTTTCATTTCACAATAGACCGAAGGTTTTAAAAGATATACTGGAGCATAAAAATTGTAAATTTTATTTCTTTTAACCTTTTGAGCTACTTTAAATGTGTTTTTTTAAGCCAAATAAATCTAAAAAGACATGCCTTTTCTAAAAACCATCTCCTAAAGTTCTCTCTGTCACTCTCCCGGCACCCCTTCTCCCTTCGCCTTTCTCATCTCTAACCCCTCACTCTCTTTACGTTTTCCATCTCTCTCTTATTAATCTCTCCTCCTAAATACACAGTAAGTATACAAAGAGAAAGAGAGGTGCTTGGATCATAGTTAGCAAGTCGCCGATTTATTTGCGACTTTTTCAAATGAGCGGCGTATTTTTTATAAACGATTTAATCTGCGACTTTTTCAATAGATCGGTAAAATATGCGATTTTTTCATGAAGAAGTTTAAAACACGACTTTTTCAAAATTTGACAAAATCGTTTCAAAAAAACTTTCCTATTAATATACTATGATATATTTTTTTATGGAAAGTTCAATATCTTTTTCCAGTTTTATGAACTTTCTATTTCTATTTTTATTTCTATTTTCCCAAAACTTTCTCTAACTAGCAAATATGGGGTCGACAATTTCTTTCTAGAAAGATGAAAATTGAATTCACCTACCCAACCAATACTTATCTTGACGAATAGAATAGATAATCATCTTATGATTTAGAGATATATCACATTGAATATTTGAAATTTATATTTATAAGGAGGTCATATCTATGTTGAATGATACATATAGAGTGAAAGGAATACTCCTCACTAC